CCAACTGCTTAATTAGCCAGAATAAAAAGGTCCTTTGTCAAACAAGCATCTGTTGCTCATGACACACCTGACAGCCACATTAGGCAAGGATGACTAGACTGAAATTGTGCATGTCTCTCCTATAAGAATATACAGCTCATTTACATATGGGCTACATCATTGACAAACTGCAGGGGTTTATTTAGCTTATCAAAATGGATTAATGTGACTACATTTGTGACTGATAAACAAATATCACTTGAAAGGAGTCTGTGAAGGAAGTAAACTAACCAAATTACTCCCAAATATAAACAAAACACAAGAAACCACTGCTGGGTGAATGGGAACAACTCACATGTACTCATAAACTATTATGCTGGGAGTAAAACAAAACCTAAATGGAGCATGCTAAGACATTGCTCTCATGCTCATGTGATGAATCCTTACTTTGCAGAAAAGTTGGAAAGCTACCAGAATACCATGAATGTGTCAGTAGGTTTAAATTATCTGTTTAGAAAAATTTGGCAGGAGGGTTATACTCCTCAAACATGCTTTAACATTCTAATTGATCTGCCGTTAAATCACGTCTTCAGAATTAATCAGTTAAAATGCCTCTGGAAAAAGGCTTATTATTTGGGTTTTATTATAACCTCAAGAAAGAGAGAGAATACTTCTTAATGTACTTGTGTTTTAGAGATGGGATGTCTGTCCATTGCTATTGGAATGTATATTAAATACTGTGGGATGAGAACCCCAAAGACTGCTATTCAGGCCAATAGTTTCCAGGTTTTCATTTGGAAGCCCTCTGATCATGATATAAAGCAATATATTAATATGTAGTGGTTGACATAATGGGCTTTAGAGTCATAAAGATCAAATTCAGCATCTTCCCCTTACTAGCTGTATTGCTTTTGACAAGTTATTAATATTAATCCATTTGTGCCTCACTTTCCTTTTCTCTTAAGTGGGGATAATAACACTTCCATTGTGGGGTTCTTCTGTGGATTAAACTACTAAATGTATTTAAAGCACTTAGCATAGTACTGGCACCAGGAAAAGACTTACTAATTAAGAGACCCAACTATAATTATGACCTTTTGGACCAAACTCTGGAAAGGATGTAATTGAGATGCTGTCAAGTCATAAGGCTTGGCAAAGAGAGACCCTTTCTCAAAGCTGAAGAAGATATTGAAATCAGCAGAGAATGAAACTGTATCTGTGAAGGAAAAATGGAGACAAAATTGAAGGACTAAATTCTTATCAATAGGCATGACCCTATGATTCGGGAGCCAAGTAGATCTGACCAATGAGCAATAATTGGGAATAAACAGAAGATACTTTGAGACTTGGTTAATACTTGGTCTCATACTTGGTTGTGTGATTTGGGCTTTATGTGCCAGTTTTGATGTGATATGTAGATAGAGCCAGAGGCTGGATAGAAAATTCCCCATGACTTTCTAGCTATGAGTTTTACAAACTATTGTTTTCTATCTTATTTCCCCTTTCTATTCTACAAAGATTCCTCCTGTTTTGTAGTTGACATTTTTTTCTTTTGTTCCCCCTCATTCTAAAATTTCACCAGTTTGCTTTTCTTTACTATCTTCTCTCTGTGCATTGTCTATTGTGAAACTCAAGACTGCCAACATGGTCTGGTAGTTTAGTGATCAGGCTTCAGTGTGATGTCTAAATTTTCCTTTCCTATTTCCTAGCTGTATGTCATTGGGTAAGTGACTTAACATGTCTGGACCTTAATTGACTTATCTGTAAAATGAGGAAAATCATAGTTCCAATGATCTAATTACACATTTCTATTAGTAAAATGGTCTAAGCTTGGGTATAAATTATTATTAGTCTTCTGTATAAAATAGGTGAATCAGTATAAATGTCATCAATATCCTTTTAAACCCCAAAAGCAATTTTCCGTTTTCAGTCTGTATTTGTGGGAATAGGTTTTTGGTTACCCTCAAAGGATTCATAAAATCAGATACCTATAGATGCCAGGCAAGTGAATAAGTATAGCCACTTAAATAATTTGCCTATAAAACATATGGTATGAGCAATTTTGTCATCACTCTGAGCCAAATTAAGACCTCTCTGTGGGGTCTAATACAGTCCTTAAGAGAGTAATTTCCAAATCTCTGCCTTTTATCTTCTGATAAGCTCTCTCAGGTGGTTTATTGGGAGTGGTTAAGAATTATTTTAAAGGTAGGTTTAATTTTTAAAGAGAACTTCTTTCTTTTTTTTTTTTTTGAGACAGAGTCTCGCTTTGTTGTCCAGGCTAGAGTGAGTGCCGTGGCATCAGCCTAGCTCACAGCAACTTCAACTCCTGGGCTCGAGTGATCCTTCTGCCTCAGCTTCCCGAGTAGCTGGGACTACAGGCATGCGCCACCATGCCTGGCTAATTTTTTATATATATTTCAGTTGGCCAATTAATTTCTTTCTATTTATAGTAGAGACGGGGTCTCGCTCTTGCTCAGGCTGGTTTTGAACTCCTGACCTTGAGCAATCCGCCCACCTCGGCCTCCCAAGAGCTAGGCTTACAGGCGTGAGCCACAGCGCCCGGCCGAGAACTTCTTTCTTTACATGTTTGCATATGTTTGATCTAAACCAGTTGTCACAATACAGTTCATGTGTCAAAAAGGAATGTGCAGACTGGTCTGCAATACAATATATGGGCACATGAGCAAGCCTTAGTAAAGTTCCCAGCCAGCTCTGGGGGAAACGGGGAGTTTTAGCGTGAGTGACTTCACTGTAAGAAACTCATCGACCTTTGATTCAGCAGCTCAAAGGAGAAACCATAACTGGCAACCCTATCTTCCTCATCTGTACACTAAACTGACAAAGATCACCAGCCATCTTGGAGTTGGCAAGAGAGGCTGAGAAAACCTCGGTGAAGATGGTATCTAACATCTGGTTCATTCTTCATTCTTTGCAGACAAGTGTTGCCACACTTTTACTAATAGCTCCTCTGCTATATGGCACAAATGGCATCAATAGTATATAAGTATATAATCAATCAAAGGACCCTGGCTTTTGCTTTCTTTTGTAGCAGAGTGTTTTTCTCCCCTCTGTAATGAAGAGATTGGATTCTTAATTTGTTGTGTATTCCCTCCTAAATGTTGAGAAACATTAGTGTTCCAGTAATCTTAATTAGGCAAGAGTTTTGTGTAGTGAATTCTGTCAGTCTGAAACATTTTGGGGCCTATCCATGGTCTTAATGCTAGTCCAAAGGGGGGAGGGGTATGTGTTTGTATGGATCAATACTACATTTAAAAAAGTGAGTCATCATTTGTGAAATTTCACATAAAAATCTGGATTTTCAGATTCTTTGGAAAATGGAAAGAACTGCCATCTTCAAATTGACCTTCCCACATATCCCTGTTATCCTGGAGCTGAGTGTTAGGTGACCCATATGAATGGAATATTAGCCACAGTCTCCATCACTTCCCTTTTATTTTGTATATCCCTAGCCACTTTCACTCTGGGTGCCTAAGGTTACTCATCTGTGAATGGAGATTATAATTATCCCAAATGTATTGAGTTGTTACATGGGTTAATTTATTAATGAATTAACATGAAGCATTTAGAAGAGTCCTTAGTATATGCTAAAATAATCAGTGCTAGCTGTTACTGCTATACATTTTGTATTTATTAATGTTCATTGTTTTGACTAACAGAAGAATTATAAAATGCTCAATCACCTAAAGAGATGCCAATGTCAAAGTCTAGAAAGAAAATTAAGCACAGATTCAGAGTGAGAAGTCTGGATCCCAAGTCTACTCCTGTCACCTTGAATGAGTCTCTTAACCATTGGACGCTTTAGTTTCCTCATTTATAAAATAGGAAGAGTAGATTTCATGTCTTCAAAGATCCCTTTTTAAAATTGAATGAGATGATAGAAGGTTTGGGGGACAAATTAGAAAAGGTCATACTGTGACAAAAGATCCTGAGAGGGGTTAATCTTCTCCTTGGAAGAGCAGAATACTCTCAGAATTTTCTTAGGGAAAATTAATATTTGCCATACTCTTCTTCATACACTTAAACCATAATGCAGCATTTTTCTTAGGCTACCAATTAAATACTATTCCTGCCCCACTCCCAGGAAAAAAATTAGAAATCTTGTCCCTGCTTAATAGCAAATAAATTCATATTTATTTTATGGAATGTATAAGTAGCAAAAGAGGATGTCAAGGCCAGGAAGCCTGAGAAAGCATACTTGTTATAGTACATGCTGCAAAATGAAATCCTGGTTTGGTAGGTTAGGCATATAAGAACTGAAAAATGTGTCATGTTGAATTGTGAATGGGAGAAAGTGAAACTTCATGCCTTTGTATGCAAGTCTTATCTACATGATTATGGTACACCCCATCTTTCAAAAATAATAAACATTATTGATTTTTGGCTATCTTTGTGTAAGACTAGTACCATATTATACCCAGGCAGAGAAACTCAATCCTTTTGCTAAGTTTAGGATATATCAGTTGGTGTTTGGATATACAGTAATTTTTTTTTTTTTTTAAGATCACCAATTAGTAAATTTTAGAGTTGGAAAGGACTTACTCTAAAATTGTGCTCCAGTGACATTCTGACAGCCTACATTCTAGACACATAAAAGTGTCTGGAGAGTGTAGTTCATGGCATATTTATATCCAATTATAGTTTCTGTCCTGAGAATTAAGAGTATATTGATGTAATTTTGAACTGTAGTTTATAAAGGGATTGTAACAATTGATAACAGATGAGAGCTGAGGAAGGTAGCTTTCAATGAAATTTAACTTTGATAGTCTCAGGATAAGAGGTACTAACGGGGATTTTTAAAAGAATGTTTATTAGTATTTTTCTGTATTTATTTAAAAGTGGTCAAAATGACTCTACATGTGTGGACTATCATGGCAGTATGTTGGGTTAAGAAGTACTATGACAGTTGAAAGTTAGTCACAGTATTGGTTATTAAAGAACAAATGTAATGAAGCTAGTGATGAGAACATTTTAAACTTTATTTCTATTTTAATGTATTTCAGAGACCATCATGCAGACATCAGAGACTGGGTCGGACACAGGTTCGACAGTGACTTTACAAACATCTGTGGCTAGTCAAGCAGCAGTGCCTACACAGGTGGTACAGCAAGTACCAGTACAGCAACAGGTAAGGAGCTGCTGTTGTCAGAGAAGATGCTATAACTTTCATTGTGTTGACTGTCCGACATAGCTGTATCCAAAGATTATTTGGACTTTACTTTCTTGCCTCATTGAGTGCTAAGATAGGCATAGGTCATTTCTTAGGTTGATTCAGCAAATGGTTCTTGAGCATTTCCTGGGTGTGCTAGGTTCTTTCTATGCTAGGCTGTAGGAATACAAAGATACTCAAGCTATAATCCGTATCCTGAAAGAGTCTCTCTTGACTCTTTAAGAGAGTTTTTCTGACTTAAGCACCTTAAGAAGGATTTCTCCTCATCTTCTTTACCCATTATTTATCATAACTTTCTCTTTATTTCATATTGAACTGTCAGCAATAATATTTTTTTATTTAATTGGCTCACAGTAGTACTTAAAGGATAGAATGCTTATACTTTATAGGAAGAGATTTTGCCTTTGTGGTGATTTACAAGTACCTTGGCATTAGGTGGCTCATAAATACTGTTTCATGAAAATAAAATAATCTTAAAGGTCTGGAGATCTGATTCATCCTATTTAAAAAGTTGGGAATGAAATCATCATCAGATGTTTACTACTAGTCTTATTCATACTCAGGGCAGTGGGCTTGTTTTAGAAAGATACTGACAACATAATGCTGTTCAAGCCAGTTAGTAGTTCTGCATAAGGATTGTGAATTCATTGGCCTGTCATTTCTCCCAAAAAGTGGTGAACATCTAAGTGAGAAAGATCATATGTCATATAACATTATCTTGGGACTCAAGATTTTCCTGTAATTTCTTAGTATCAAGGAGAATCTTCAGCAATTGTTGCTTCTACAATTATAAATAAGTGGTTAGGTTTTTATAAAATGATAGACAGAAGGACTCAGGTTATTTTCTCTTCAGGATATAGAATTGGGTTGGGTGGGGAGAGTCCTGGAATCACAGTCTTTGACTATTAGGGTAAGTAAAGACCTCTGAAATAATCTTTAAAAAAAATTTTTTTTAAAGAAATGGGGTCTTGCTATATTGTCCAGGCTGGCCCCAAACTCATAGGCTCAAGTAATCTTCCTCAGCCTCCCGAAGAGCTGGGACTACACCTTGCCTGGCTTAACTTTTTTTTTTTATAATCTTAGCATATTCTTTTCTGCTCTCTAGCATGCATACACACACATCTTTTCCATGCCTCATGTTCCCAGGTTTATTAGGTTGAACTATATGTAGTTTTGACCTACAAAAAAAAAATTATATGTTTTAATTTTTAAATTATGTTTATCTTTCTTGGCTTTATTTTTTTCTTTTTTTACCATTAAAATGAATCTCTCTAAAATAGTGTTTTAAAAGGTTGTGGTATTATTGTTGTCATCACCAATTTGAAGACTCTGAACATTATTCAGAAAAGGATAACTTAAGTCATCCAAAGGGCAAGTAAAGAACAATTGGAACATTTTCATACCTAACTTTAGAAGGATAACTCAACGATATGTCAATTCTAAGGAAATGTTCAACAGTTAAATTCACTCTGGTTCGTTTTGTATCTCATTTATGGAAGAAGAATGGCCTTGAGAGTGCCTATCTCTAACAAAAGTATGGTGGAGATAGTGCCCACTTTCACCAGCCAGTGCCCTCTTGAGACATTAAAAAATCTGTAGCACATATCTGGTCCTCAGTCCTGGACCCTGTCTTTTCTTCCACTCTCCCTTCCTTCTGTTTTTTTTTTTTTTTTAATAGTTTTATTTTTATTGAATTTATATATCATCAGATGTTTACTATAGATCTTAATAATGCATATAATAGTGTAAAGAGTCAAATCATTCAGCAAGCTTTATTATTTAAAACAAAAAAGTTCTTAACCTACCCTTTTCTTGTATAAACCACTCCTTAGAGGCAATTCCATTTACCTTTTTAACCTCTTATTTTAATATTTACCTCCATATATTTTAAAATAGCATACTTATTTTATTGCTTCTTGAATGTTTATTTTTAAGCATTATCTTAGCATGCCCCACTTTTGGTCCCTAACACACACACACACGTACACACATACCCTTTCTATTCCTTATGTTTCCAAAAGATTAGATTGTACCATATGCAGTTTTTATGTACAAAAACAGTATCTTCATATGTGTCAACCTAGAAATTTTGTTTTAATTTTAATAGATCAGTATTCAGTGGTTATACCACAGTGATATAAATGTTATTCAGATCTGGCCGTGTAGTAATTAGTGATTACCTTCCTTTCCTATAAAACTCATTTACTTTTCCTGAATTTAATAATTATATTTCTTCTAGTTTACAGGATTGCCATGGACAAGTCAAAGAGCATTCTAAATTCTGGTCCTTTGTATGTGGCTTATGTGATTGTTTTTCCTCTCTGAAAGTTTATAGTATGTTTCAAATCTCAGTTTCTTGAAATTTCATGATGATATGCCTTGATGTGGGTCTGTTTTCATACTTGTATTGGAAGCTTAATGGGCCTTTTCAATCTGGACATTCAGGTTATTCAGTTCTGGGAAAATTTCTTCAATTTTTTATTTATGATTACCTCACCTCTGTTCTCTTTTCACTTCTAGACTTTTCTGTTCTACTTTCAATTTCAGTCTTTCAGCCATTCACTTTTACTTTCTGCAATCATATTTTTTTTTATTTTCAAGCACTTTCAAAAAATATCTTGTATGTCCCTTTTTATAACATTGTGTTTTAATTCATGGTTTTATTTTTTCTTTCTGAAGATATTAATTTTTTTAAGTTTCAATTTTCTTCTCTTTACACAGTCTGTTTCTTTCAAGGTACTCTGTTCTATTCTGTTTGTTATAGTTTCTTTTATGTTAAAAGCTTTTCTCAGATGTCTGATAATCTTTGGGCGTTTATCCATATTTAAAATTTTAGCTATAAGAGGCTGATTTGAATGCATGAATGAGCCTTGTTGACTTCAAAATAAGGTCATCTGACTGAGTAGATTTTTTAATTAGGAACCCGCTGATGTTTAGTATCTTTATTTTTCCTCTTTGGCTGGTCATATTTTTAAAGAAGACTTGTTTAACTTTCTGCCTGGTAGGTGAAATTCTTGCCTGCCTGGGAGCTGAGTGGGGGAAGGGAGTTAGGTATTTATTGCACTAATTTACTTAATCTTTCTCTTTTTTGTATGGTATAACCTGTGCATGGTCTTCCTTAGTGCAGATATTAAACCAAAGAATAAACCTCCTAACTTTTTACCAAAGTTAGAGAAAGCCAGTCACCTTACTGCATAGGATTGGTGGAGGGAGTCTGATTGCTTCTTAAATAGAATTATTTTTATATTAAATACATATATTAGAAACAAAAAAATGAGATTGCTGCCAGAAGTGGAAAGTCAGTATCACCAGCCATAAATTGAAGGTTTTATATATACATACACAGACACACACACACTTCATTTTTGTCCTCATAAAAAATAATTTCATATACACCTGGACCACACTTTGGTAAACATTGTACTATGCCATATGGCTCACCCCCAACAGGCGTATTTTTCATTTCAAATTAGCTCTTTCTTCTGGGACATTCAAGGCAGGTGATACGTTACATTCCCTTACACCAAGCAAGGAAGGTGAGAACTCTCAATTTCTTTTTGTCAACAAAGTGTTTTATTTCACATAGTTTGTTAGTGTGATATTTGCCTGGAGACACTTGTGATGTTGTCCTTTCAGGTTTATTTGGAAGGATTTTTTTTTCTTTCTCATTTTTTTTTATTTTTCACCAGAGCGGTATCATATTTGAAGCTCCCCAGTGCATTCTAACAGTGTCCATGTGGTTGTAAATTATCTATAACTGATAACATTGAATGTATAGTAATTTCTTACTGCTCTGACATGCCTATAATGTTTGAATTGTTAATGTGCTGATGATATCTTGTAAACTGTAGTAAAATGCCTTTAAAGGCTTTCTAGCATTTATTAGTAACCCCTGATGGATATTGATATCGTGGTATTGATGTCAAAGGTAGTTATTTCTATTGATTCAACTTTTCGTTGTAACCTTGCTTTGTTCATTTTGACATAAAGAGAAAGCCTATAGCTAATTTTGTATGTTGAGACATATAATATTATATGTATTAAAATGTTGAGAAACCAGAAAATTTCAGTATCCTAATATTATACACTTCTGTTTCTTCAAAGCCATAGGATTATAATTTCTCTGTGTAAAAAAGTATCAAATGTTGATTCTAAAATTATTACTACGGTATTTTGTTTATTCTGTATGTCCTCAAATACCAATTTGTCACCTTTCCTTAGACAATATAGTTCAGGAATGGAGAATTCAGAACAAAAAATAGTAAGGTCTTACTGTTAATATATACAGGCTGAGTATTCCTTATCTAAAGTGCTTGGGATCAGAAGTGTTTCATATTTTGGATTTTTTTTTGGCTTTTGGAATATTTGCAAATATATAATGAAAGATTTTGGAATTTTACATATACATAATGAGAGATACATAATGGGACCCAGGCTAAGCCCAAAATTCATTCATATATACCTTGTATACATAGCCTGAAGATAATCTTTTTTTTTTTTTTTTTTTGAGACAGAGTCTCGCTTTGTTGCCTAGGCTAGAGTGAGTGCCGTGGCGTCAGCCTAGCTCACAGCAACCTCAAACTCCTGGGCTCAAGCGATCCTTCTGTCTCAGCCTACCAAGTAGCTGGGACTACAGGCATGAGCCACCATGCCCGGCTAATTTTTTCTATATATATTAGTTGGCCAATTAGTTTCTTTCTATTTATAGTAGAGACGGGGTCTCGCTCTTGCTCAGGCTGGTTTCGAACTCCTGACCTCGAGCAATCCGCCCGCCTCGGCCTCCCAGGGAGCTAGGATTACAGGCGTGAGCCACCGTGCCCGGCCTTCAAGATAATCTTATACAATATTTTTAATAATTTTGTACAGCCCATCACATGAGGTCAGATGTGAAATTTTCCACTTGTGGTGTCATGCCAGTGATCAAAAAGTTTAGGATTGAAGCATTTTGGAATCTGTAT